AAGAACTTTGCTTTAATATATGAACAGCGATGTAGCGTGAATTAATGTGAATATGCTAGTCGCTGCTAAGGTTTCTCAATACGTTTTCAGCGGGCATGCTGTCAAGTTTCGTACTGCAAAGCAATGACAACAAGACATTTCTGTGGTTTGATCGGCATGATTTACCGTTTGATTTATCCTTCAATCTGTTTAATAAAACCGTTTTGACGGACAGAGCAAACCGTTTAAACGGAATGATCAAAACTTTTCCACGGATATGTCAGACCGTTTTCACGGATACACCAAACCGTTTTCACAGGTACGTCAAACCGTTTTCACGGATAGGTCAAACCGTTTTCACGGATAGGGCAAACCATTTTCACGGAAAGGCCAAATCGTTTTCACGGATAGGCCAAGCCGTTTTAACGGGAAGGCAAAACGTTTTAACGGTTAGCCAAAGCGTTAAAACGTTTAGTGTTCTCCGTTTTAACGGATGTTGAACGGTATCAGAACGGTTTTTTAGACCGTTTTTTCAAAACGTTAACATATGTTTTCCCAACGAGGGTCACCTTTATAGATTATTGCTAGTTTACAAATTATTTGGGGGGGGCTGAATCCTCCCCAGTCCCCCGGTTGATATGATCCTGAAGACCGAAGCAGAACATGATGTTTAATAATGTGAGTATGAGCAAGAACACTGGGCATTGTGGAAGCAGAACGTTCCTTTCCCATCAAAGACGAGTGATATAAATCGCGTAGTGTTATAAATTTTGTCTAGAAACGATTTGATACACAGGTGTCCAACAGTGAAATGGGGTAGCCATTATGAGAAAAGGTTTTCTTAAACCTTTCCATCTCAGAATCGAAAAATTTAAGAAAAGCATTTCGCTCATACTCACTTTACTAAACATGCTTCGGAATTCAAAATCCTTTCTTCGGAAAAAGATGTACTTATTCGTGAGGGCTTTTTAATATCCAAAAGTAATCCAGTACTACAGTATTTACATGATTTGGTCAACTCCTCTTGACCTATTTTAATACTGTAACATAAGTAGACAAGTTTAAATCTAATTGATATTATTTTGTAATTATATATAGTATTATTATGATGTATATATACAACGAAACGTGAGCAATAAATTTTATTCCTTTTTGTTATGTCTTGTTTGAAAGTCATGTGATTGGCTTTAATATTTATCTTTAAATTGCGCTTTTCCGCCTGGTGTGTCAATCTATTTCACTACCTAAGCTAGAAAATGCTTGCATGTAGCCTAATATTCAGTATCAAGCAGATTTTCAGTCTCCATACAAAAGATTTCTTCCTGCGCTGCAAGCTGAAACTAATTTGCCGAATAGTTATTAATATTTACGTACTCTATTTAAATACTAAATAGTACTAAATCATTTTCATTTTATGTATATTGCATTTGAACTTACCCGCTACTGCACGTGAGAAATGGCTGATTTCTTTCATATAAACTTAATTATACGCTTGAGAGAAGCCACTACATGACACCCAGCTATGATTTCTATTTAAATAGCAAATTGCAATACAACATTACTAATTGATACAATTTTAAAGTCTTGTTAAAACGAGCAGCCCAATGGTGTTGAAGTCAAATGATCTTACCCAAGAGAAGGTATCCACTCGTACAATGCTGCATCAACATAATTCACATTACTGGCTTCCACGAGAAGGGGCCGATGTAATTTTGGGTATAAATGCTCTCCAGTTTTATCTCTTATGGAGCAAATTCCGTACTGAACATCACACTCGCGACAACGAAGTCTCAATTTGGTGCAGGGTATCGGTCCACTCAGCGTGAACAATGTTGCCTTATTTGGCTTGTTGTTGGTTGACAATGGCTTTCGACAATAAAGGCAGAGGTCAACAGGAGGCGTCATCATGCAGTTGAAATTAAAAGATTCTTCTTCGGTGGCTTTCCAAAGAACATCTTCGAAATCTTTTTCGTATTTTGAACATAACGTAGGGCATCTTGCCTCTACTAATGTTACGTAAACTCGCAGATCTTCTACCACAATTACAAAACCTGCCTTCCTCATAATGGTGCCGATCGCATATAGTCTAAAATTTCCACATTCATCATGACCTGCCTGACTATATCGTGAAGGAACGTGCTTAATTGCCATTGCTAGCGTCATTAATCCCTTTGTCGTCAGCTTAGTTGATAGTATAAATATGGTCTCCTCAGCAATCTCATTTTTTTCCTCGAGCAATTGAGACAAACGCAGATTTTTGGCACTTACAAAATTTGCGATCTTGTTGATATTTTCCCTCTCCTCGGCCTTTGATGCCAACCGGGCAAGAAATGCTTCTCGCGAAAACATGTCCGAACCACGTCGTTGCTTCGACATTTCTTTTAAAATTGTATTTAAACCTGTGCTTTGCCTTTGAACTCGTGATCGGCATACATCACTATTTTTTAGACACTATCCAATTTCCGTCCAAAATTTTCTTACAGGCAGTGTCATATCACTCATCGCAGTGGATTATGATATCGCCATATCACCTGATCAATTTTTTCTTTATAATATATCGCAGTTATTGTAATGACACCATAAACAACATCTTATTATTAAACGCCAAGATTGCGCGCTTGGTCGATTCACAATCAAGACAGGCAAAATTTCACATCTATCTGAAACTAGTTCGCCGTGAAGGATACAATGTGCGGCAGTGCGGGCTTGGGCGCATAAATACATACATACTGATACTCAACATTAAGGAAATTTTATAGCAAGTGTAGAATATGTTTTCAGATTTTGTTTTGTACTGTTCCCATTGCTTAATACCCTTTTACCTTGGTCACTTTGCCTACATAGCTAGTTTCAATGCTTAGTACCTTATTACACATAATAAGAGCAAAATGGCTTAACTAACAGTCTTAAAACAGGCATCATTTGCTTTACATACAGTACATGCTAACTTCAATTATAACTTTACATACAGTACATGCTAACTTCAATTACGATATTTCTACAATGGATTCACATAAAAAGACACAAAACAACGCACGCATAATACATGAGCGCGTTTTATACAATATTTTACGGCATGGTCTACTTTCAAGACCATGTTGAAAATAAAAGAAATCCATTAAATAATGATTACAAGTAAACAGGTCCAAGACACATGTAGAGTTCCTATTACCTATCCCAAAATATTTTGAATGAAATCATACTTTTTGCACTTGCCTTTAACCTTTCAGCTTTTTCCACTTGCCTTTTAGCCCTGTTGAGGACAACCTTAATTCATTTAGCTGTATAACTGATAGAACTTAAGTTAAATGAGATAAATAAGGGCCAAACAACTATTTCAATTAAATCAATTAAATTTTCCACATGAACATATTTTGTTTGATCCTTGCATAATACCGGCACCAATCTGACCCTCCCATCCATTGCTCGACAGTATAGAAGTTCCTAACTTGAAGCAAATGTCATTGTCATCATTATCTGCCCCTCGCCCATAGTTTTTAGAGTTATCATTATGTGCCCCTTCACCCAAAGTTTCCACAAGTAAAATTGTTCAACACGAGAAATAAATCTGGTATTTCCAAGCGCCCATGTATTTTTCTGTTTATTATATAAAGGACAGTCTTTGAAAAGCGATAATTTTTACAGAAAAGTGATAATTGAAAAGTGATAATTGAAAAGCGATAATTTTCACATGATTGTGAGATTATCATAAATAATCTCGCATGTGAGATTATCACTTTTATCAGTGCTTGCCATCTCTATGATGCACTATACTTTATATAATAACACTATTTATATGCCCTTGGTGAAAATCTGGGTCAGATCTAGAAAAAAGGAAAAACATTACTCAAAATCTTAACACCAATTTTTATACAAAAATACTCAAAACACCAATTCATTAATTAAAAAATTGTGAAACAAACAAATTACTCGCAAAATTATTTGTGGATTTTGCTCTCCAGTTAGTTGCAAATTTCTCCTGCAACATTTTGATTCGATGCTAAACATAAACTTTGCTGTGTGTGTCAGGCTATATTTCTAAAATAGAGCCTGATCTCATGTTAGGATCTCACATATTTGTAGACTTTGGTTATATCAATCATATCTTCCAGGGGAGAGGTGCATTAACTTTCAAATTTCCAAGGGATGGGGTACGTTAACCGGGAGTAAATGTCCCATGATGGAAATTCCATAGGGAGGGGTAATTTACACATGGAAATTACATGGACAGGGTCAAATTTTAAATGGAAATTCCATGGGGAAGGCATTATTTATAATGGAAATTCCATGGGTAAGTGTAATTTTTGCACAAACTCGCATGTATAACTCAACAATAACAGTTTATTTAAAACTTGCCAGGTGGTTTAATACAAATCACAATAAAATACATTTTTGTTGTCCTAAATAAACAGACAAATAGTGCATTGACAAAAAATAAACAGACAAAAATTGACAAGAATGGAATGACAACGAAGTTCTTACAGGGAGCAAAGTCGAGGGGGGGAGGGGAAAGAATTAGCTCAGTTAATCAAGAATTCAACCTAAGCAAATACATTCCTAAATAAAACTACATAATGCCGCAGATGTAACTTGGCGGGATCTTGGCGACACAGCATTTGAACCGGGTTTGACTTGACTCGCTTTGGTAAAATAAGTGCTCAGTTTCCACAGTTACCTTTTGAAAATCCTCAGTGTTACTGATCCTCACATGGTCTACATATGAGATGGGGCAAATTCGCCTCATAATCAATGGGATGCCCGCAAATTTGTTCAGCATCTTGAGTAAAGCTCAATTTGAAGGCTTGAATATATTCTTGCTCTGCAAGGTAGACAGGAAGATGAATCTATCCAATTTGAAGTTTGATATGCTTTTTTGGGGGTTTCGTTGGAAGTCATTCAGGTAAATGAGCTTTGAGACTGAACAGATGGCTTGATATGTAATTTGATATGATTTACAATGGACTGTCATACTTTTTGTGGTATTCATTTCCGTGTTTTATTTTTGACTGCGATGGCTAACTCAATTTTTTAGTATTTCTCACTCTTTGATCATATTAACCCATTGAGTCGCATTGCACCCTGATGACCTTACTTTAGTATTTTACTCTGTCTAACGCCAGAGTGTTTTACTCTGTCTAATGCCAGACGATTTTACTCGTCAAGGGGAGAGCGCTGGCGCTTAATGGGTTAACTGGCCTATCTGCCCATGTGTCTAGTTAACCCATTGAGTCGCATTGCACCCTACTTTAGTATTTTACTCTATCTAACACCAGAGTATTTTACTCTGTCTAACGCCAGATGATTTTACTCGTCAAGGGGAGAGCGCTGGCACTTAATGGGTTAACAATACTACTCAGCCACCCTACCCTAACTGAAATTTTTTGTTATCTCCCAAATTCTGGGAGACACATGATCAGCCGATAGCAGGGTCTTTCCCAGCAGGTGGAAAGTCCCTGCGACGGAGGTTGGGATTGCTGCTGTACAATTTTATAGATAATTAAAAATTTTCAAAGTATCTTTGCTACCTGTAAAGAGTCAGGTCAATAAGGCAAATAAAATGGGGGTAGTTAGACACACTGATAACTTACATTGGTATGTGGAAGGACAGTGTTTGTACGAGTTCTAGAAATAACTAACATATTTACTCATGTTACCAGGATTGGTCGATTCTGATAGTGAAGAGGATTTTTACAACAAACTCCCATCATTGGAGAATGTTTGGAATGAACACGAGAAGCCTGAGCCAAGAGCCTGCCTTGTTTACATACATAACTGACAAGGTAATATTAATAAAACATGGGGAACTGAGCAGTTCTAACATTGTACAATTTTTGGATCCATGTAATGACAATAGTGACAGCAGTTTTCAAATTTTTTGCTTTTAATTAGGCCAGTATAATAGTTGACAATATGTTACCCAAATATACATACGAATGAATGCTGGTTTGGAGAAATTCCATTTTACAGAAACATCTCTGAGTCAGCGAACACCATCATCAAACAGGCAGTGCAACTTCAAAGAAAGTGAAATGCCCAACTTTACTTTGAAGATGGTGTAGCTAATTAAATGCCAAAGGGAAGATGGATGAGGAGCATTATTAAAATAGTGGCCGTAAACAACTTAGATTCAGAGTACCTCAATTTCCAACTAACATCGGAAAAGTGTCAACCACGCAACGCAATGCATACGAAAAAAGATTTTATGACATGTTCAAACCAAACAAGAAAATTCAGGATGAAACTAAAAAAATTGTTCTTTGTCCGTCAGACCAGAAGATGCAAATTTGAGTTTTCTGCCTCCTGAATTGGTAAAACATATATTTAGAATGGCTGGAGACGTTTTGTGCAAAGAAAAAGCCATTTTTCCAACTCCTGGGAATAATGCAATGACTTTCATGGTGGAGAGTTCCTCTTCAAACGACCTCATTACGTCTATGCAGAGAAAAGTGGAAAAATTACATGCAAGAACTGCACAGGATGGGCTTCATTCTATCTGTGCAAGCATGCTGTTGCGGTTGGAGAAAAACTTGCTGAGTACTTGGATTGGTTATTACGTCGCCACAAGCCCATGAACTTAACAACAATGGTCACTTTTGATTCCAACCAAGGTGTGGGTCAAAGGTGTTATAAAGCCCTCCACATCTTGGTGGAAAGGTGGACAAAGGAACAAAAGTACCCACATAGTTGTTGACAAACTAAAACAACAGTAGCAACACCAACAACAACAGCAGCAGTGAGAACAGCAACAACAGCGACAACAGCAACAGCAACAACAGCAGCAGCAACAACAACAACAGAAACAACAGCAACAACAGTGACAACAGCAACAGCGATAACAACAACAATGGCAACACCAGCAACATCAACATGAACAACATCCTATGCATCCAGGTTACCCTGACCCATTCTTTGGCTCGTACATTTTGTATCTTCTACAATTTTGGCCACCACAAGTAAAGAAGTGTTTTGGGTGTGGACAGGCTCTAATCAAGGGAACTGATAAATCTCAAATAATGTTAAATGATACAGTAAAATCTTGATTTTAATAGCAAGACGTCGCTGGAGCAAGACGTGCTTTTTTGAACTCCAAACTAAACGCTATATAAACACTATATTAAGTGAAATGATGGTGTGATTGTTTGAAATCGGCATTTTATGGGTTGAAACTGGTGAAATCTGAAAGAATCTTTAGATTTATATAAATATTAAGTCAATATAGTCACATTATTCAAGATTGCCTGATGTCTAAAGACCCGGAATTAAGATCGAAGATGCGCTCGTCTACGGCAGCTTTAAAAGATTTAGATATTGGTGGCATTATCCAGAATGAACTATCGAAATACCTACACTCAGATGAGTTTGGTGACACCATAAAAGCGTCCCTAAATGATATTATGGCCACGATGATAAATGAAGCAGTTCAGCCATTGAAACAAAGAATTGAAAACCTCGAAGAACAATTAGAGGCGGTCAAACAAAAGGTGAATGATAACGAGCAATATTCTCGAAGGTCTAACGTTCGCATATTTGGCATGGAATCCCCTGATACTAACAGTGATTTGGTCATGGTCGAAAATTGCACTAAATCTGTGGTCGACTTTTGTAAAAATGAACTTGGTGTGGATTTAAATGAGCAGGAAATCGATAGAGCTCACCGTGTAGGGAGGCAACATGGCAAGAAATCAAGGGCGATTATTGTGAAGTTTAGAAGTCACGCCTCAAAGGTCAAAGTCATGAAGGCAAAGAAAAACCTTAAAGGCAAACCGCTCTACGTTAATGAGGATCTCACAAGTCAAAACTTATGGTTACTGAAGCGATCGAAGGAGGCTTGTAAGGGTAATGGATATGCGTACAGTGTAGACGGTAAAATTTTTGTTAAAATAAGAGATAGTCATGATTCGATTAGAATTAATAGACTTGCTGATTTGGAAAAGCTTCATCTCGTAGTTAGCTTTTAAATATGGACCCAAATGCCGAAGACACTTTATAATTACTAACAATTTTTCTCGTTGTGTGTTTCTTAGTCCTTAGACTTAGTGTGTATTTTGCTTTTTTGTTTGTCTTGTTTTTCTATTTTTGTTGTTTTGTCTTTGTATGTGTGCAGTATGAGGTAAGCTCCCTTTATTTTGATTGGTCTCATGGGGGTTAGTTTAGAAGCTTATAGAGCAGCAATCGGGATGTTTAATCTCCGTAAGTTATTTGTCATTGGAATTGCTTTCTCTGGTCATAGCTTTTTGTTTCTTGTTGGCGACTTCATTATTTTTTTTTTTTTTATTTAAACATATTTTATTACAGACATTTTCTCCAAGAGCATAGCTCATCAAGGGAGATTATGTCGGATTATTCACAAACTTTAGGTTACTCACATCAAGACAAAGAGGATTACATAGAAAAAAAAGATTACATCAAAACAAATCGAATAATCATAGTGTGGAAGAACTTCTGGTATTCATTCTCAAGCTTTCCATGAAACATATT